ACCACCACCACCACCACCACCACCACCACCACCACCACCACCACCACCACCACCACCACCACAACCAGCACCAGCACCAGCACCAGTACCAACACCACCACCACCAGCACCACCACCACCAGCACCACCACCACCACCATCACCACCACCACCACCACCACCACCACCACCACCACCACCACCACCACCACCACCACCACCACCACCACCACCACCAACCACCACCACCACCACCACCACCACCACCACCACCACCACCACCACCACCACCACCACCACCACCACCACCACCACCACCACCACCACCACCAGCACCAGCACCAGTTACCAACACCGCCCATCCGCCCGCCACCACCGCGCCGCACCGACACCACCACCACCACCACCCACCAGCACCACCACCACCACCACCACCACCACCACCACACCACCACCACCACCACCACCAGTACCACCACCAGCCACCCACCAGCACCACCACCACCACCATCACCACCACACCACCACCACCACCACCACCACCACCACCACCACCACCACCACCACCACCACCACCACCACCACCACCACCACACCACCACCACCACCACCACCACCACCACCACCACCACCACCACCACCACCACGACAACCACGCACACACGCACGCACGCACGCACGTGCACCACCACCCACTACGCACGCGCGCGCGGAGCCACAGGTCCGCTACGACACGCGTCCGCGGATAGAGAAAATCAGCGCCATGGTAAGGGATGGGAGGGAGGGGTAGGACGTCAGATATGACGCGAGCGCACCTAGCTTGTCCTCCTCCCCCTCCCCCTCCTCCTGCTCCTCCTCCTCCTCCCCCTCCCCCTCCTCCTGCTCCTCCTCCTCCTCCTGCTCCTGCTCCTGTTCCTCCTCCTCCTCCTCCTACTGCTCCTCTTCCTCCTCCTCCTCCTCCTCCTCCTCGCGTGCCTCGGCGAAACGCGCGAACCCGAGCAATCTTGACATCAGAGCACGGGCCGAGGAGGTGCCCCGGAGCCCTTGGTGCAGTACGAACTGCACCGTGAGCAATATATCACCGGAATGCCCGTGGACCCTATGCACTGCAGGCCCAAAGTCGGGAAGGGAAATCTGGTCAGGTCAGCGCTCCTTCCCCTCTTTCTCCCCCCTCCTCCCTCGAGAGGGGCGAGGAAGGAAGGGGGGAGAGGAGGGGCAGGAGCACTGACCTGACCAGTTTTCGATTCCCAACAAAGCAGTTGACCAGGAGAGGGTGGGTCGACACCTCGGAGTAGGGCCCCCGAAAGAAGGAGGAGATGGCAGCACACATCGACACACACTCGACGGGGGGAGGTTTGGCCACTGCGCGTCCAGCTCCTGCTCCGGAGGCGATCCAGGAGCTGTCATCTCTGGTGACTCGCCTCGCAGTGCTGGACGTTCGCTCTGCGCCTCCGCTTCTGGAGTGGGGCTCCGCCGTGCCTCCACCTCCCCAGGGTGAGCCACGCCACATGCCGTCGGGGCTCAAGAGACGGGGGTCAATGCAAACGGGGATCAGCCAGAGCGCCCGATCTTGCAGGATCCTGCAGGGCCAGGGTCGCATTGGCCTGGGTCTGAGTGCAGCATCCTGCAGGATTATTGCAGGATCCTTCGCATTGACCCAGGTTTGGGTGCAGGATCTTGCAGGATTCTGCAAGACCTGATCGGCCTGGGTCTGGATTGACCCGGGTCAGAAGATCCCCGATGCCGCCAAGGCGGGGCTGCGGGGAATCGAGCCACAGCTCCCGAGCTCTGCCCGGGCAGATCCTCTGCCGTCACCCCCCGCAGCTCCCTGCGCAGCAGCTGGTCGACCGCCCTGTGCCCCGACCCGCGGAGTCGCTGACTGCCTTTTCTCGGGCTCGGCTCCGAGGAGCGGGTCCGATGCGCTGCATGCTGCCAGCCTTGCGCCGTCGCCCACGGCCACGCATTTCCTCGCTCTCAAGCGGCCTCTGCACAGCGGAGCCTCCCCCTCGAGCAGCCGGCCAGGATGACGAGAACCAGCCGAGTGTCCGACGCCTTGCGGTGGGTGCGCGGTGGTCGGCTCCGATCGCTAGCCTCCGCCGCCCGCCATGGCCCGCCCGAGTGTGCCAGCGCGGCGGCTGCGGTGCTGGGGCCGTATTTTGAGAGGAGGAGGAAGAGGGTGATATCGGAGAGTCTGATGACGATGATGCTGATGCTGATGCTGATGCTGATGCTGATGCTGATGGTGATGCTGATGTTGATGCTGATGCTGATGCTGGTGATGCTGGTGATGCTGCTGATGATGCTGATGTCGATGATGATGCTAATGCTGATGATGTTGATGATGATGAGTATGCTGACGGTGATGTTGATGAGGATGATGCCGATGATGATGATGATGCTGGTGATGGTGGTGATGATGATGGTGATGGTGATGATGATGATGATGCTGATGATGATGATGATGATGATGATGCTGATGAGTATGATGACGATGTTGATGCTGCTGCTGATGCTGATGCTGATGCTGATGCTGATGCTGCTGATGATGCTGATGCTGATGAGGATGATACTGATGCTGATGATTATGAGGATGATGCTGATGACGATGTTGCTGCTGCTGATGATGATCATAATGACGATGCTGATGATGATGCTGGTTGTGGTGGTGGTGGTGCTGGTGGTGGTGATGATGATGTTACTGCTGCTGCAGCAGCTGCTGATGATGGTGGTGGTGCTGGTGGTGGTGATATTTGATGATTCATGCTGATGCTGATGCTGATGCTGCTGCTGATGAGGATGAGGAGGAGGAGGAGGAATGAGGAGGAGGAGGAGGAGGAGGAAGAGGAGAAGGAGGAGGAGGAGGACAGTTGAGGAGGAGGTGGAGGAAGAGGAGGAGAAGGAGGAGGACCAGTGTAAACCCAAGACGCATCAACGATGTTGGAATAAACCCTCTCTCCAAGCTCCCTTTCCGTCAGCCCCACAAGGATTCAGGTTAACAGAGGGAAGTGCCCCGTCGTGAGACAATCGTTTGAAGAGCCTGAAGCGTTCCAAGAAAGTTCTCGGGACTCCAACGCCAGGAGTCAATCTGACTGTTGCGTCCTGACGATCGTGAATCGTGGCAGAAAGCCGTTCCTTGGACTCCAACATCGCGAATTAACATAACTGGTGCGCCCTGACACTCCTCGGTCTCTCCAGAAACCAAACTTGTGGGATGCTGATCATGAGAACGCATGGATATCTAGCACATGTTTAGAATAACCATTTTGCGGCGCTAAGGCGAGAACCACATAATGAAAAATGAGCCGCCCTCAATTCGTGACACTCTTGCATATCGTTATGACAACTGTGCTCGGCGCAAGGGCGAGAGCGACATTTTAAAAGTCGCCTGCCCTCAATTCGTGAAGCTCTTGCAATTGTTTGAAACGAATGCGCCCTGAGCGCAGGCGAGAGCTGGATTTTGAAATGGAATCGCCCTCAGACCGTGAATCTCTTGCAATTTCTACAGACGACTGTGCGCGGCGCCAACGCGAAAACCGCATTTTGAAAACCGTCCGCCGCTATCCGTGAAAGTCTTGCAAATGAGTTCGACGAGTGTGTGCGCCACTATAGCGAGAGCCACATGTTGGAAGCGGCCGGCCCTCCATGTGTGAAACTCTTGCCAACCCTTGCGCTTCAAGATCATACATGACAGGACGTCTCAGGCGAAAGGCCCAGCCCGTCCTTTCGACTGGCCTCGGGGTGCGACAGGGAGGAGTTGTAAGGAAGAGATGGAAGAGCGGGACGAGGAGGAGGAGGAGAAGAAGGAGGAGGAGAAGGAGGAGGACGAGGAGGAAGATGAGGATGAACATAAGGAGGAACAGGAGGAACACCAGGAGGAGGAGGAGGAGGAGGAGGAGGCGGCGGCGAACATGATGCTGGAGGAGGACGGAGGATGGTGGAGCAGGAGGAACAGGAGGCGGAGCAGGCGGCGGAGGAGGATCAGGAGGATGATGCTGATGATGATGATGGTGGTGGTGGTGGTGGTGATGATGATGATGATTATGATGATGAGGAGGAGGAGGAGGGAGAAGGAGGAGGAGTAGGACCAGTAGAAGCCCAAGGCTCATCAACAATATTGCAATAAACCCTACCTCCAAGTTTCCTCTTCAGAGGCCCCTTACACGGTTTATTTTCACTGAGGGAAGTGCACCGTCGGAAGTCAACCGTTGTTAAAATCCTGAACTGTGCCAGAACACCATTCCTAGGACTTCAAGGCCGCGAATCACCATCACTGCTGTGTCTTGACGATCCTGAGTCGTGCCAGAGCGCCGTTCTGTGGATTCCATCACCGCGAATCAGCGCAACTGATGCGCCCTGACAGTCCGACATCGTGCCAAACCACAATTTGTGGGACGTCAACACGAGAACCCTTGAAGCAGCTATGAACTCTGAAATGACTGTGTGCGGCGCTAATGCGACAGCCACATATTGAAAACAGTCTGCCCTCCATGCCTGTTGCCATTGCAGTTTTTTAGGACGAAAGTGCGCGGCGCTAAGGCGGGATCCACATTTTGAAAACAATCCGCCCTCTATCCGTGAAACTCCTGCAACTTTTGAAGACGAATGTGCGCAGCGCTATGGCGAGAGCCACATTTTGAACTAATGCGTGGTTGTCAGGCGAAACCCCCTATCGACATGCCTCGAGGTGCGACATGGAGGAGTTTTTCAATGACAAGGGATGGAGGATGAGGATGAGCAGGAGCAGGAGGAGGAGGAGGAGGAGGAGGAGGAGGAGGAGGAGGAGGAGGAGGAGGAGGAGGGAGGGAGGAGGAGGAGGAGAAGGAGAAAGAGGAGGAGGGGAAGGCGTGCCCAATTTGCGTAATGGTGTAAATGCACGTCGAACCCTGAACTTCGAGCCTCGGCGACGACGACGACGACAGCGAAGGAGACGACGACGACATCGACAACAGCGACGACGTCATCGACGACGACGACGGCGGCGACCTCGGCGGCGGCGGCGGCGACGGCGACGGCGCCCGCAGGTGGGAGGAGCAGCGGGCCTGGGAGGCGCGCCGGGCGCGGCAGCAGGCCGGGCGCGGCGGCGCCCAGGCGCCGCCCCCGCCGCCGCCGAGGTCGGCCGCCGGTCGGCCGCCCCGTCGTGCGCCCCGTCGTCCGCCCGTCGTCCGCCTGTCGTCCGTCTGTCGTCCGTCGTCCGCTTGCCGTCGTCGTCGTCGTCGTCGTCGTCGTCGTCGTCGTCGTCGTCGTCGTCTTCGCTGTCGTCGTCGTCACTGGTCGTCGTCGTCGTCGTCGTCGCCGCCGCCGCCGATGGAGGGAGGCTTTCGGTTCTCGGGCCGCGGTCCTGGGCGTTCCGAGGGCCGTCTGGGGGTCCCTCGGCGCCGGGGCTGGATCTCCGTCCTGGGCCGCCGGCCGGGGTGCGCCCCGGGAGGAGGGCCGCTCGGCGGATCGTCGTGGTCGTCGTGGTCGTCGTCGTCGCTCGTGTTGGAGGGGGGGAGAGGCATCCCAGCCTCCATAGCTGGCGTCCCAATACATCCTCCAAACCCGCCGATTCTCAGAGATTTCGAGTTATCCCGATCCGATTTTGTCCCGATCTTCGCGTCGTTTTAGAGGGCCGCTCGGCGGATCGTCGTTGTCGTCGTGGTCGTCTTCGTCGCTTGTGTTGGAGGGAGGAAGAGGCATCCCAGCCTCCATAGCTGGCGATTGCTCCACAGACCTTGGCGTTCGCTGGACGCTCTGTCCTGTTCGATGCTCTCCCGAGATGCGTTCACGAAAGGCCTTCGCTCAGCGCTTCGCTTGGCGTGACTTCTCGAGGGCGGGGGGTTCTCGAGTGGCGTTCTGGGGGCGGCGTTCCGCGCTGCCCTTCCCGCCTCCTCCTACTCTCCTACTCCTCCCCCCCTCGGGGCTCGTAATCTCAGCTCCTCTGTGGGGAAATCTCTCGAGGCTTGTGACAGGTAAGCTCAGAGTCGTCGTCTTCGTCGTCGTCGCCGTCGTCGTCGTCGTCGTCTTCGTGATCAGAGTCCTCCGTGCTTGTACTCTCAGCTTCTCTGTGCGTAGAGCCTTTCGGGGCTCGTGCCAGGCAAGGCGTAGTGTCATGATCGTCGTCGTTGGTGTCGTCGTCGTGATCAACATCTGTCGGGGCTTACAATCTTGGCTTACCTGCGCGCTGAACCTTGCGGGGCTCGTGCCAGGCAAGCTTAGAGCCATCGTCGTACCTATTTCTGGGGCTCTTGCCAGCCAAGCTTCGAGCGCAGAACCCTTCGGGGCTCGTGTCGACGCCCCCTGTCAAATGACCAACTGCTGAACAATGTTGCTACTGATGCCCAGTGTCGATCACTGCTGGGCACTGCTTATTTGCCATTGCTCATTTCAGCTCAGCGTTGCTCACTTGTGCTCGGAGGTGCCCACAGCTGCTCAGTGCGGCGCAATGCTTGCCCCCGTTGCTAAGTATTAAGAAGTACTGCTCGGTTGTTGTCACTGCTCAGTGCTGCTCAGTGATGCGCAGTTCTTGCTCTGTGCTTGCCCGCTCCAGCATTTTGTGATGTTGATGTGTTCTGCTGCGTTCTGTTGGTCTCTGCTGTTCGCTGCATGCCCACCGCTGGCCATTTTTCATTATGCAGTGCGGGTCAGTGCTGCTTACGGGTGGTTAATCCTGCGCAGTAGTGCTCATTGTTATGATTGGCTCGTTGTCGGCTCCTTTTTTGTTCACTACTTGCCCACAGCTTGATCACAATTGATAGCTTTCGCTCGCTGCAGATCAGTGTTAAGGCAGTGTTGCCCAGTTTTGCTCAGTGGAAGTGGATCAACCTTTGCTGATGGCCAGTGATGCCGAGGTGACGGGCATGAGCGTTCAGTGCTGTCTTCCGGTGCTGCGCCTCCCGCTTTTGCTACGGGCAGCCAGCATCTGATCACTGCTCTGCTACTGCAGGATCCCTGATGGCTCATTGCTGCTGGTTGATGCTCAATTCGGCGTAGTTTTGCTCGCTGCGGCACGCTGCTTAACCATTTTCGTGCTGCCTGGCCGCGTGCCACAGCACAAGCTCACCGCTGCGCGCGCCCGGTCACTGCTGCCCCGCAGTGCGCACGGCTGCTCGCTGCTGCACGCTGCTGCCCCCCATGTAAATAAATACAGATCCACCCAGAAAGACATGCCCCCTTCTAAATTCGTGCCGAACGAGAGGGGGGGATAGGAAAAGGGGGGCTTCCGAAATCTGCTGCATGCAGCTGGTTTCGGCCCCACCGAGGGGCCCAATTCTCGATACATAGCCGCCTCCCGGCGCCCGGAGGCGCCGTCAAAATCAGCTACGCGAGCTGATTCTCACCCCCCCCCCTTGCTATCCCCCCCTTTCGCCCGGTCCGATACATGATCAGCGTGGGTGCCCCCCTCAACGATATGCGCGTGCTCCAGGAGCACCGGCACGCACTGACAATCGGTGTGCCGGAAGTGGGCAGCCAGCAATATGCGCTGGTGAGCAGTGGGCAGCCGTGGACATTTGTGACCAGCAATGAGGAAAGAGACGGCAAGCGGCGGGCAATCAGTGATCAAGATGTGGACAAGCCGCGGGCACCAGTGACCAGCCATGAGTTGCATTCGGCTGTGCAATTAGTGAGCAAACCGTGAGCAATACGTGAATAGCACGGAACGTCTCATTGCCTGCGCGTTGATCGACTACTGCTGCGAACTGCCGGTCTGTTGCTGCCCACTGCTGGCCGCTGATCGCTTACCGCTGCCAATCCATTGTGTCCGCTGTTTGCTGGGTGCCCATCGCTGTCAAGTCCTATCCAGTGGCCTTCCACCGTGACCATTTTTTGGTGCAAGGCACACATACCGCAAACAAGCACAACCACAATCCAACAACAAAAAATGGTGTCCCAATGTCAAGCGCCAGCAGCCAATCTCAAGCACAAGCAACAAATGCCAGGCACGACCATCCACGGCCCTGCAATGCCGATCGCGACCATCCAATGCCAAGCAATGCCAACCACGACCAACCACTGCCAAGCACGACCGCCCCTTACCAAACAATGCCAAACACGACCAACCAGTGCCAAGCACGACCAATCAATGCCAGGCAATGCCGAGAACGATCAAGAAATGCCAAGCATGACCAAATGTTGCCAAGCAGTGCCAAGCACGACCGCCCAGTGCCGCACGCGACCAAGCACTGCCAAGCACGTCCATTCAATTCCAAGCGCGGCCAGGCAATGCCAAATGCCAAGCAACGCCAAGCACGACCACGCAATGCCGAGCAGTGCCAAGCACGACCAAGCAATGCCAAGCAAACCCAAGACGACCACTCAATGCCAAACACTTCCAAGCCATGCCAAGCATAACCAACCAATGCCAACCAACGCCACGCACGACCATTCGATGCAAAACAATGCCAAGCACGACCAACCAATACCAAGCACTGCCTCGCCCAAGGCCCATGGGACCAATCCCGTTAGCTTTGGAGCATCCCGAAAAGGCTCAGGGCATCTGACCAGGGTTTTGCCACAGGCTCGCCCAAAAGACCCTGATGCATCCACCGGTGGCTGCGAGGCCTTGGTCAGAGAGTGTGAGAACTCACCCGTAACCTCGAATCCTCCATGCGATGCTCTGAGGCGCCTCTCAAAGGGGGGGTCTCTCCAGGCAGCTTTCGTGTCTCCCCAAGACTCGGGGGCTTGTCCCAGGGGCTCTGGGACGTGCCGAGGATGCGCAGGAGCACCCCTGGAAGCCGCGAGGTTGTTTCGACAGGCCCTCAGGCTTCTTCCAGCGGCCTCTGGGGTGGTGGTGGTGGCAAGAGAAAAACAAGCAGCGGCCAACGGGGAGGATGCTGTCAGTTTCCCCGAACCATCCTGTGGTGTTGGGTCTTCGTCGTGAAGAGACAGCGCCCCGCGTCTCTCTTCTCCTCCTCCTCCTCCTCCTCCTCCTCCTCCTCCTCCTCCTCCTCCTCCTCCTCCCCCTTCTCCTCTCCCTCCTCCCTGCATCTGCACATCGCATCGGTCAGCCATGTCGGCACATCCCTCACACGTTTCGTGGCCTCATAAGGAGCCCCTCCCAAGGCCCAAATGATGCCGCCCGCGTGCGTCCCCGACACCCATGCCGGCACACCCCTCAAACGTTTCGTGGCCCCATAGGGAGCTCCACCCAAGGCCCAAATGGTGCCGCTCGCGTGCGTCCCTGCACCCGATTCGGCACGCCCCTCAGACGTTTCGTGGCCCTATTGGGAGCTCCACCCAAGGCCCAAATGGTGTCGCCCGCGTGCGTCCCTGCACCCGATTCGGCACACTCCTCACATGTTTCGTGGCCCCATTGGGAGCTCCACCCAAGGCCCAGATCGTCCCGCCCGCGTGCGTCCTCGCCAGATACTGATCACGATGACTTCGACAACGACGACGACGTCGACGACGATGCCTCCAAGCTTGTCTGGCTCGAGCCCTGAAGGGCTCTGCGCACGGAGAAGCTGAGAGTACAAGCTTTGAAATACTTTGATCACGACGACGGCGATGACGACGACGATTGTAAGCCTACTTGTCACGAGCCCCGACGGGTTTGCGCATAGAAGAGCTGAGACTACGAGCCCCTCGGGGGCGAGAAGGATAAGGAACAGGAGGTTGGAAGGGCAGCGCGGAACGCCTCCCCCAATTCCCAAATGGTTGCCCCAGGGTGCCTTTACTTCGGTCTAAATGTCGTCGTCGTTGTCGTCGAGGTCGTCGGCGACACCGGCGATGGGCACTGGTGAGGCAGAGCGCACTGGCCTCTGCACTGGGCATTCTGAATGCTGTGCATCCCATCGCGGGCGGCCCCTTTTCTGAATCCGAGTCTGTTCTCATCGTTTCCCCCCATCCTTTCCCCTCCTCCGCTTTCCCGAGGTCCTCCTGCTCATTCCGTTCCCCCTGCTCCAGCTCCTGCTGCTGCCGCTGCGGTTCGTCCTCGTCATCCTCCTTCCTCATCCTGCTCCTTTGCCTCCTCATCCTCTTGCTCATCCGCCACCTCCTCCTCCACCTACACGCAGCTCCGCACTTCCGATTGCGGAGGATGCGATGGGGCCCTTTTTGGGATTCCAGGTCCGCTGCGACATGCGTCGGCGGATGGAGAAACACTCGGCGCCAGAGGAAGGGGTCGGTGGGAGGGGTAGGATGTATGGCAACATCGCAACTGGCCTGCCCCTCGCCCCTCTCCCTCCCCCTCTGCCCCTTCTCTACACTTGCTCAATGTGAAAATACTCTCCCTCTTCCCCTGATGGCGTCCGGGTGATGGCCGCGCACCCTCCGCGTACTGTTTTTTTACACAGGATTCCCGGGAAATCCCGGGAAACGACTCTCGCTGAGGCGCCGGCGTCATTTTTCCCCAAAATGCTGCTCTCGTTGAGGCGCCGGCCTCATTTCTGCTCCCGAATCGTTCCGAATCGTGCTCCCGCTGCAGCGTGGGCCTCATTTTCGGATCGGTGTTTGGCCTCCGTCGTTCAGGATGGCGTTCTCGCCCCAGCGCGGGCCTTTTTCTCGCGCGCCCATCCGCCCGCCACCACCACCACCACCACCACCACCACCACCACCACCACCACCACCACCACCACCACCACCACCACCACCACACCACCAACCACCACCACCACCACCACCGAAACCACCACCACCACCACCACCACCACCACCACCACACCACCACCACCACCACCACCACCACCACAACCACCACCAGCACCAGCACCAGTACCAACACCACCACCACCACCACCACCCACCACCACCACCACCACCACCACCATCACCACCACCACCACCACCACCACCACACCACCACCACCCACCACCACCACCACCACCACCACCACCACCACCACCACCACCACCACCACCACCACCACCACCACCACGACAACCACGCACACACGCACGCACGCACGCACGTGCACCACCACCCACTACGCACGCGCGCGCGGAGCCACAGGTCCGCTACGACACGCGTCCGCGGATAGAGAAAATCAGCGCCATGGTAAGGGATGGGAGGGAGGGGCAGGACGTCAGATATGACGCGAGCGCACCTAGCTTGGCCTCCCCCCCTCCCCCCCTCGCCCTTGCCCTCCTCTTCCTGCCCCTCGTCTCCATCTCCGCCGCTGGCGCCGCAGCAGGACTCCGACCTCTCCGCGGCCGCGTTCGCCGTGGGCAAAGCGGCCGCCGTCGCGGCGGGCATCGCTGGACCGGCGGGCTGCGCACCCCCCGTGACATCCTCGTGCCGTGAGCAAAACCACGGCCGGAGTTTTTCGGCAATGCTCAGCCTCCGGGGCCCCTGGGCCGTCCAGAGCGACTTAGGACGAGAAGCCTGTTCCCAGGTCCAGGGCGGCGCTCGGGGGAACGGGGAACGGGCTCAGGGCGGGACGCAGCCCGGGAGGCATCGACCGTCCCTCGTCGCCCGTCGTCGCCGTCATCGTCGCCGTTGCCGCCGTCGCCGTCGCCTCGCCGCCGCGTCGTAGGGCCGTCGGCCGTCGCCGCCGCCGCCGTCGGCCGTCGCCCTGCAGGAGCCGCCGTGGGCGCCGCGGGGAAGGCGGTCCAGGCCGCCGCGGGCCCGGGCGTCGCGGGCCAGGGCATCACCGGCCTTGCAGGAGCGGCAGGCAGGGCGGTGGGCTTCGCAGGAGTGCCCGGCCGCCGCCGTCGTCGTCGTCGTCGTCGTCGTCGTCGTCGTCGTCGTCGCCACCGCCGCCGTTGCCGCCGCCGCCGCCGCCGCCGCCGCCGCCGCCGTCGTCGTCGTCGTCGTCGTCGTCGTCGTCGTCGTCGTCGTCGTCGTCGTCGTCGTCGTCGTCGTCGTCGTCGTCGCCACCGCCGCCGCCGCCGCCGCCGCCGCCGCCGCCGCCGCCGCCGCCGCCGTCGTCGTCGTCGTCGTCGTCGTCGTCGTCGTCGTCGTCGTCGTCGTCGTCGTCGTCGTCGTCGTCGTCGTCGGGGTCGTCGGCGTCGTCGTGGTCCTCCGCTTTCTCTCCTCGTTCTACCACCTCGTCACGCCTCTCCCTCCTGCCTCCTCCTCGCCCTTTCTCCTGCTGCCGCTCCTCTCGTGCTCGTCCTCCTCTCCTCCTCCTCCTCCTCCTCCTCCTCCTCCTCCTCCTCCTTCTCCTTGTCCTCGTCCCCATCCTCCTCCTCTGCCTCCTCCTCCTTGTCCTCCTCCTCCTACCTCCTACCTTCTCCTCCTCCTTTCCTCCTCATGCTGCTGCTCCTCTGCTGCTGCTCCTCCTCCTCGTCTTCCTGGGACTCGCTCTCGCCGAGGGCGGCCGTCGTCGTCGTCGTCGTCGTCGTCGTCGTCGTCGTCGTTGACCTCGTCGCCGCTGTCGTCGTTGACCTCGGCCTCGACCTCGTGCTCCCCGCGCCGCGGGATTCGTAAGCCTCCCGAATTCGTGCTTCTCTTGTCGGCTTGCCTCTGTGGTGGATCGTTGCCCTCTTCTTCTCCTCGTCCTCCTGGGGAGAAGGGTGGGGTCGAGGGGGCGAACGACCTCCTCCCCATCCCCGCGCCTCTGCACTTCACGAGGTTCATCCAGGACACCCAGAGGGAAGGTTCTCGAACGAAGCCCGACGCGTGTGTGTGTGTGTGTGTGTGTGTGTGTGTGTGTGTGCGCGTGTGTGGCTTGCCTGACTTGGCCGCCTGGCGCCAAACCAAACATTTTCTTGTTTGTTTGTTTGTTTGTTTGTTTGTTTGTTTGGTGTGTGTGTGTGTGTCTGTGTGTGCGTGTACCTGCGTATGCGTGGGTGTCTGTGTCTACACGTGCAACCGCCTGCTGTGTGTCGCCCCCTATCGTCACGCGCTCCGTACTACCCAGCTCAGCTCATCCCGCCAACGCCCTTGTTGATCTGGACCAGGCGCAGGTGAGAGAGCACAGGCGTGTCTGTTTGTGTGGGGGAGGGACGAGAGAACGGGGTCGACGGGGGGAGTCGGGGGAATGGCAAAGGGGAGGACGGGACCCTGGGAGGGGTGGGGGGAGGCATGTAGCAGACGGGAGAGAGGGACGAGTCGGGTGCGCGCGCGCCTCATCTCACAGCATGCTTCTATCTCATCCCACTCCACTGCGCTGAGCTTGTTTCCATCCGCCGATTGCGGTACCCTTTAGATGACTTTGATCCCACATTGGCATCTGAATGACTGAATGAATCGACCCGTCCTTGGATGTGCAATTGGACACTGGGGCCTTCTAACATTGGAGGCGGATTATGAGGCACATGGGCAGCAAAAGGAGAGTGAGGAGCAAGAGGACCAGGAGGAAGGACAATGAGCAGCATGAGCAGGAGGAGCAGGAGGAGCATGATGACCAGAGGAGTGCGGCCGCAGTGCAAGTCGTGGGACGGTAAAGGCGAGGAAGGAAGTCGGATCCGGAAGCGTGGCTCGCGCTTGGGCGAGCGCGCCATGCCGAACGACGGGAGCAGCGCACCGACCGCGAGCTGTGGCCAACATGGTTGAAGGGCCAACTGCGCTCCGCTGGGAACAGCAGGATATCCCATCCACTGATGCCACTCTGTGTGTCAGGAAGCGAAGGAGGCCTGAGCACCGCTGGGCATTGCCCAGGGAGAATGTGAACTGGTACGCATTGGCTACTCTGACTTGGGAAGGGGGAGGCAGGGAGGGAGAGGAGGGATATGAGAGGACCAGGAGGAGAAGAAGGAGGAGTCGAGTCAGGAATGGGTTTGGCATGGCGGATGAGTGAGGGTGAACAAAGCACACTGGAGGAAGAGTGAGAAGGATCGGGCAGGGCTGTGGTGATGGTGGAGGGCAGGAGGTGATGAGGAGGTGGTGGTGGAGGGGGGGGAGTAGAAGGAGGAGGCTGGCCGCTCCCCGTAGGCGCAGCTGGCAAGAGCGTGCTCGACAGCGTTTCGCCGCGCGCGAGCCGCATTGCAAAGATGAAGCTCGACGAGCTGCTGGAGTTCATCGGGCAGGCACTCCGCATGAGGAGGATGAGGAGGGAGAGGAGGAGGATGAGGAGGAGAAATACGATGAGGAGGAGGAGGCGGAGGCGGAGGCGGAGGCGGAGGCGGAGACGTAGGAGGCAGAGACGTAGGAGGCGGAGGCGGAGGCGTAGGAGGAGGAGGGGGAGTAGAAGGAGGAGGAGGAAGAGGAGGAGGAGGAGGAGGAGGAGGAGGAGGAGGAGGGACGGCGGAGGAGGAATGTGATTCGAAGTGGGCTAGAGTCAAGTGTCAGCTCCAGGCAGCAGGGCCGCAAGAGTCACGCTGGAAGCCAGAAGGGGGCCCGAACACGAGCGAGGCGAGGGCCACAGAGGACGCCGAGCGGAAGGGACCGACCGACACGCCAAACAGGGACGAAACCACGCAGAGATAACAGGGTGCACACACACACACATAAAGACATAAAACTAGCTACGCAGCGCGGCACAGGCCCGACACCCTCACGACCACGGTGACTACGACGATGTGCATGGCGCTTCGTGAAGTTCACCTCGACCGAACACGCTCCTCCACCAGGAGGCCCTGGACGCGCACTGCTGGCTCAGGCCGCCTTTGGCCGCGCCCTTGTCCTTGTGCCAGGAGTCTAGACCAACAGCAGCACGAGCATTGCACGATTTTCCTCGCCCTTGTCGATACCTTTGCTCTCACAGCCAGCTTGCCAGGGATCTCGATCAAGCAAGGTGCCCTTGTGGGGATAACCACGAGTATTGTTCGTTCTTGTCCTTGCACCTGTCCAGATCTCGCACCTCTTCGTCGTGGGCAGGTCGCTCATGGGCAGGAGCCTGAGCTGGATGATCAGGAACAGGTCCAGCACCAGCGCGAAGCGCCTGGCATAACGCCGCTCCCATGTCCGAGGGCTGGCAGCCCCGATGGGAGAAGCCTTGGAAGGCCTGGGGCAAAGCTTGGGCCGCCCTCGCCTGCGCACGGCCCGCCTGCGCCCTGCGCTCTGCTGCCGTTCGCCGTGGGCGCGTGGGGCGGCCGTCATCTTCGCACCATGGCGGCGAGGCGCGCATGCCGAGCTGAGGAAGGAAGGGGCCAGATGGGCTGGCCCGCGGGCGCGCGGACGCGCCTTGGCCGAGCCGGCGCTCAAGGGAGGGCGGAGGGGGGCGAGGAGGGTGACACGGAGGAGTCCGACCTCCAGCCTTGTGCCCTCGTGGCGGTGAGGGCGGCGGTCGCTGCGCGGCTGTCGTGGCCGGCGCGGCCGCGGTCGCCGTCGACGCAGCGGCCGCGGCCGCCGCCGCCGCCGTCGCCGCCGTCGCGGTCGCGCCAGCGTCTCCGTTGCCGCTGCCGTGGCGGCCGCCGCCGCCGTCCCCGTCGCCGCTGCGGCCGCCGCGACCGCCGTCGCCGCCGCCGCCGCCGCAGCGGCCGTCTCGGGCGTTGCCGTCGCGAGGGCCGCCGCCGCAGCCGTCTCTGCCGCCGCGGCCGCCTCGCCTGCCGCGAGGCTCCCACGCCCCCCGCGGGCGCCCCGCGGGCGGCGGCGTCGGGCGACCTCCGCGCCGAGGAGGCGGAGGCGGAGAGGCTGCAGGCCCTGCGCCGCTCGCGGCCGTGGCCGCTGCCGCTGCCGGCGCCGTCGCCGCGCCCGCCGCTGTGGCGGCAGCGGCGCGGCCGCGTTCGCCGCGGTCGCCGCCGACGCCGTCGTCCTGGCCTCGGTCGTCGGGCCTGCCCCGTCGTCGTCGCTGTCGCCTGTCGTCGCCGTCGTGCTCCTGTCCGCGGGCTCGCCGTGGCCAGCTGTCGTGGTCGACGGGCGAGAGCGAGGGAGGAGCGCGGAAGCTAGGGGGGGGGAGAGGAGGGAGGGGGCAGTGGGGGGACAGATAGAACAGAGGGGCGGGGGGAAGAGGAGGGAGGAGGAGGAGGATGAGGAGGCGGGAGAAGAGTAGGGAGAGGGGGGAGGAGGAAGGTGAGCAGGAGGGGGAGGAGAAGGACGATTATGGTAAAACTGCTGCTGCTGATGATGCAGCTGATGATGATGATGCTGTTGATGATGCTGATGATGGTGATGATGCTGATGATGACAATGGTGATGATTATGATGCTGATGCTGATGCTCATGCTCCTACCGTTGCTGATGCTGATGCTGCTGCTGATGATGATGCTGATGATGCTGATGATGTCGATGATGATACTGATGATGATGCTGCTGATGATGCTGCTGATGATGAGGATGAGACATATTATGCTACTGCCGCTGATGATGCTGATGGTGATGGTGATGATGACGATGATGCTGATGATGGTGATGCTGATGATGGTGTTGTTAATGACGATTATGATGATTATGCTGATGATGATGCTGATGCTTATGCTGATTCTGACTATGCTGATTCTGATGCTGTTGGTGGTGATGATTATGATGCTGATGGTGATGGTGATGATGACGATGATGATGATGGTGGTGATGATGATGCTGATGTTGATGATGCTGATGCTGGTGCTGATGCGGATGATGCTGAGTCTGATGATGATCATGATCATGATGATGCTGCTGAAGATACTGATTCTGCTGATGATGATGCTGATGCTGATGATGCTGATGATGCTGATGATGCTGCTGGTGATGGTGATGATGCTGATGCTGATGCTGATGATGACGACGGCGATGATACTGATGATGATGGTGATGGTGATGCTGATGTTGATGCTGATGCTGGTGCTTATGATGATGATGATGATGATGATGATGATGATGATGATGATGGTGATGATGATGATGATGATGATGATGATCATGATGCTGATGATGCTGATGATGATGATGATGATGATGATGATCATTATTCTGGGGATGATGCTGATTATGATGATGACGATGATTATGATTACGATGATGATCATGCTGCTGCTGATGATGATGATGATGATGATGTTGAGGCTGATGCTGATGCTGCTGCTGCTGCCGATGACGAGGATGAGGATGATCATGATCATGATGATGATGATGATGATGATGATGATGATGATCATGATGATCATGATGACGATGATGATGATGATGATGATGATGATGATGATGATGATGCTGATGATGATGATGATGCTGATGATGCTGATGATGCTGATGATGATGATGATGATGATGATGATGATGATGATGATGATGACGATGATGATGATGCTACTGAGGAGATGGAGGAGGAAGAGGAGGAGGACGAGGAGGAAGAGGAGGAGGAGGAGGAGAAGGAGGAGGAGGAGGGAGGCGGCGTTGTGGCGAGAAGACGGCCTGTCCGCCCGTCAACTCGCTGGCCGCTCTGTCAGTCCTGTCGTGTATCTTGCTGAGTTCAGGTGAGTGCCGAAGAATGTCCGCCATGTCTATAGTTACAACTCTGTCCAAGGGAAGCTCCGTATGCCAGGGAACGGGGCCCGTGTACGCTTTTATTCCGAGCCGAAGTCTCCAAGCGGAAGTCGTGTTGGCCCTTCCTTCGCGTGGCCGGGAAGATCTCGATGTCCGCGGGGGGTCGGCCTTTCTCTCTCTCTCTGCCCGGCGCGTAGCTGACATCGACGCGCTCGGGGGTTGCCCTGCCAGTCGTGTGGTGCGATAGGGGAAGCGGAAGGGGCCTGCTGCACATGTCCTGTTTTTCTCCCGGTCTCCCAGGAGGGAAAGAAACACACAGACACAATTAATCGTCGATCCCCCAGAAAATATGGGAAAATATGGGGCGTCTTTTTATTTGTGTGTATTTATTTGTGTGTCCCAGGGCCCCTTCAGTCTCCCCCGCCTCCTCGGGCGCGATGCGCCTCCCCCCTCTCCGAAGGCAGCACAAAACCCACCCCCAGCCCCAGCCGGGAGCGCCACTTCCGACCTGGGAGGAGGAGGAGGAGGAGGAGGAGGAGGAGGAGGAGGAGGAGGCGGGGGGAGGAGGAGGAGGAGGGGCGGAGGCGGAGGGGATGAGGAGGAGGAGGAGGAGGAGGAGGGAGGAGGGGGAGGGAGGAGGGAGGAGGAGGAGGGAGGAGGAGGAGGAGGCGGAGGGAGGAGGGGCGCCGGTCCTCCGACCCTTCCGCCCCTCCGTGCTGGCTGGCGGTCCGGGTGTGTGCTGTTTGGGCTTCCTGGGGGCTGCACGACCACCCCCACCCCCTCCTCCTCCTCCTCCTCCTCCTTCTCCTCCTCCTCCTCCCCCCTCCCCCTCCTCCTCCTCCCCTCTCCCCCTTCCCCCTCCTCCTCCTCCTCCTCCTCCTCCTCCTCCTCCTCCTCCTCCTCCTCCTCCTCCTCCTCCTCCTCCTCCTCCTCCTCCTCCTCCTCTCTCTCTGGCGGCGCCGGAGGCGCGCTCTGCTCGCCAGGGAGGGGGTTCCCGTGCAGATCCCCCCCAAAACCGCGCGGGCCCTCGAACGTGAATTTTCTGCAGTTTTGTCTCCTCTAAGACCGTGAGCTTGTGCACTGTAGATGTGCGCGCTGTAAGGCGGTGCCCCCCATGGTATAATTCGACACGGTTCGTGCCCCCCCGAGCGCGCGCGCAAGGGCGTTCGATTGATTTTAGCATGCGGCGCGAAAGGCCCGCTTGGGAGATTTCAATGAACATGTTGAACAGCCTATGGTTTTTGAGAGTTCCCAAGAGCGCGAGCCCAGTTTTTTTTGAAAGCTGCTGTTGCGAAGCCATCGTTTTTTTTGTTGTTGTTGTTTTTTTTCGGACGTTCGGTTTTGAAGCTTTTACGAAACCTTAGGTTTGCGAAGGTTTTCGGCATGCGCGCGCGTCGATGCGCGCGCGTGCACTTTGTCATGTTTTTTACAAAGGATTCTCGCGACAGCACGCGCGCGAGGGCGTTCAAACGATTTCGACATGCGCGCGCGAAGCGAGTTTGGTAGGATTTTGCGAAAATGTTGAAAACCTCTGGATTTCTTAAGAATTTCGCAAAATCGCGCAAGCTTTTTTGAAACCCGTTTTTTCCCTAAAACTAATATTTTTTTAGATCTCTCTCTCTATATATAAATGTGTCTGGACACTCGATTTTGACATCTCTACGACATCTAAGTTTTTGACGGATTTCGGCAGGCATGCGCGCGCGACGACGCGCGCGTGTGTATTTCACGTTTTTTCGGCAGGGGCTTCCTGAATATTACTGGTTTTTGATCGGCGAGTGCGCGCGCATAGAATTCTTTTGCAGATGAGGACGGGGGGTGTCGATACCAGCCTGGCTGGTATATTATGATTTCATATGTCGGAGGGACTATGGAGCATAATGAATTGTACATTGCAACACGAAAAAGGGGAGCCGACAATCCCAGGAGGTAAATCTATTCTTTAAGTAAGGGGAATTCATTTCTCTTCGCAGTGAATTGTCAATTCCACTGCATGCGCAATCATCTCACCCACCCACCCGCGACTTGGTTTGCAAAACCCATTCGGCGGCGATTGCGATGAGTGCTTGGGGTTAGCTGGTGCATCTCTGCGGCCGCGCTAGCCCGCGCATGCTCGCGCGCGCAACGGCCAAGTACTTTGGCGCGACGTCGCGGCCGCGGTGGCGCTGACCGATGCGCATTCCAGCGGGCACTTCAGTGCGAATGGGGGACTTGTGCGGGCGCGGTATCATGGCAATTTCAATGTCGACAGCGGTAGACGCGATGATGCTGATGATGATGATGAGGATGATGATGATGATGGTGATGATGATGCTGATGATGATGATGACAGTAACGATGGTGGTGACGATGGTGGTACCGACGACGGCACGGCCAATCACAACGCCGATGCTGATCACGCCGGTGACCATGACGGCGTCTTTGCGTCGGTGGTGGAGGCTGTGGGTGGAGTTCGACACGCGCCCGCGGCCGATGGGCGAGAGTGGCCAGCGTGGGGTCATCTGACACGGGTCGTGCCCCCCCACCCCCCCAGCATGCGCGCAAGGGCGTTTGAATGATTCCGACGTGCGGCGCGAGATGGCCGTTTCGTATAGTTGAACGAGCATGTTGAACATTGATGGTGTTTTTGGGAATTCGCAGGAGCGCGAGCGCAGGCTTTCAACGAACACTGATGTCGCAATCCATCTCTCTATAACACACTATATATACGCGAGTTCTCGGGACCACTCGTTTTTGAATTCCGTACGACGCCTCAGGTTGTTGAAGGACTTCGGTATGCGCGCGCGACGACGCGCGCGTTTTTTTTCGTTGTGGTTTGTGTATTTCTGTTGTACCTCTCTCTCTCTCTCTCTCGTTTCTCTTTGTTTGGTTGTTTTTATATAAGTGTATATATATGTAGTTTTTCATTGGTGGTCCAACACAACAGAATTTTAACCATAACAAACATGTGCACCCACACGCATTCACACACACATATATATATATATATATATGTGCATTCTGGTGTAACCAATGATGTTTGTTGCGCGAGTGCGCGCACAGCGTATATGTTGCAAAATATGACCAGGGGGGTCGAGCCCGGCCTGGTCGGGATTGTGTGAACTCGTATATCGGGTGGGCGGTGGGTTGGGCGGTGGGGGAATTCACACACATGCATATATATATATATATATATATATACACATATATACATATGTGTGTGTATATATACATATATATCTATATGTGTGTGGCTATACGAAAAAGGGTGCGGTTAAATCCCGGGGGGGATATAACCCACCATCCCCCAGAACGCGAAAACGAATTGCTGTTCGCAATGAGTTGCCCGCCCCACTGCTTGCGCAATCAACCCATTCACCCGCCCGCAAGTTGGTTAGCAAGTGTATTCCGATGATTGTTGAGCGCTGGCTGGTACATCTCAGCGGCCGCGCTAGTCCGCGGAGGAGGAGGAGGAGGAGGAGGAGGAGGAGGAGGAGGAGGAAGAGGAGGAGGAGGAGGAGGAGGAGGAGGAGGAGGAAGGAGGAGGAGGAGGAGGAGGAGGAGGGGAACAGGAGGAGGAGGAAGAGGAGAAGGAGAAGGGGGATACTGGGATAAGGAGGAGGAGGAGGAGGAAGAAGAGGAAGAAGAGGAAGAAGAGAAGAAGGAAGAGAGGAGGAGGATGAGGAGGAGGGGGAGGAGGAGGGGGAGGAGGAGGAGAGGAGGAGGAGGAGGAGGAGGAGGCGGAGGAGGGAGGAGGAGGAGGGGGGGAGGGAGGAACATGAGGAGGAGGCGGAGAGAGGCGGAGGAGGAGGAGGAGAAATGGGGGAGTAGGAGGAGGAGAAGAGGAGGAAGAGGAGGAGGGGAGGAGGAGGAGGAGGAGGGGAGGAGAGTGGACGAGAAGGAACAGGAGGAGGAGGAGGAGGAGGAGGACCAGGAAGAGGGGGAGCAGGAGGAGAGGAGGAGGAGGAGGAACATGAGGAAGAGGAGGAAGAGGAAGAGCAGGAAGAGGAGGAGGAGCAGGAGGAGGACGAGGAGGAGGTTGAGGTGGAGGAGGAGGAGGAGGGGGATGAGGAGGAGGAAGAGGAGGATGAGGACGATGAGGAGGAGGAGGACGCAACAGTGTAATCAATATACTACGGCTAAGAAAAATGATAGTCATAACATAAATAAGGATAGTCATACCACTTAGAACAACATTATGGATATCAGGGATGCTAAGACAAACCTGCATACTAACGACGGGAGGAATACTAGCATTACTAGCACCAATAAGGATACGGCTGATAGAAATAACACTAAAAACATATGAATCATAAGAAGTAGGACATACGAATATCACAGCTACTCTTAATATTAATAATACAGACATACTAAGAACAACGCTAATAAGAGGAAGAGTACGCAGAATAGTCACAATCAGGAGAGGGGGAGGAGGAGGGGGAGGAGGAGGAGGAGGAGGAGGAGGGGGACGCGGAGCATGGAGTCGCATCATTATATATTTCTTTCTCTTTCCCTCTCTCCCTCTCTCTTTTCTCTATCTTTCTCTCTCCCTGCATATACATATATACATATATACATTTACATACATATATACATATATATATATATATTTATATATATGCGTGTACATGTATATATATATATATCTGTATATATGTATATACTTACCTGGGCCCTGCCGACGTCGTCGCACCCTGGCGCCGTCGTCGCAGCAAAGGAGGCGACGTCGTCGCACCCCACCTTCCCCTACGTCCCATCCGCAAAGAGCGCCCGTCGTCGCGCCCCGGGGCCGTCGTCGTCGCCCCCCCCGCGCCACCTCCTATCCCCAGCTGCCGCCGTCGTCGCTCCCCCCCCCCCACCCCCCCCACGTCCCCTCCGCAACGCGCGCCCGCCATCGCGCACCCAGGCGCCGTCGTTGTCGCACCCAGGCGCCGTCGTCGTCGCCCCCCCCCCCCCCCCCCCCGCCGCCGTCGTCGTCTCGGCCCCCCTCCCCCACGTACCTCCCGTCCGCAAAAGACGCCGTCATCGCCCCCCGTCCTCCCTTCCCCCCCCCCCCCCGCTTCGTCCTATCCGCAAAGTGCCCCAGAGGGCGCCGTCGTCGCAACCTGCCGCCGCCCGGCGTCGTCGCACACCCTCCCCCCCCGCTCCCCCCAGCGTCCTATCCGCAAAAGGGCGCCGTCGTCGCACCCCGCCGCCATCCTCGCACCCCTCCCCTCCCGACGGCCTTTCCGCAAAGGACCCCGTCGTCGCAACCACCCCCCCGCAAGTCCTATCCGCAAAGGGGCGCCGTCGTCGCACCTCGCCGCTGTCGTCGCCCCCCCCCCCCCCCCCCACACATCCCATCCGCAGGGGCGCCGTCGTCGGAGGAGCGCGGGATTGCGCGCGCAACGCGGGGTGTTCCCACCTCTAAACACCCCGCGCGTTGCGCGCGCAACCCCGCGCAACCCCGTGCTCACCGATTATCGTATTTAAATGGTACGGCTTGTTTTTTTGTTCCGGGCTATTTTTCCTTGCTACTTTTTCATGTTTTGTTTATGCAGATGTTCAGGTTGAAGTCCAGAACCATTCAACCGTCACCGCCATTTTTCTTAATCGTTTGGTCGCTGCACGGATTCATATTTAGGATGTGGGATGGGGCAGAATCATATGTACATTTCACATCCGCAGGGGGACCCGATGAGTCGGGGTTGGTCGATCCGAATGTTCTTTTTGAAAGGAGGATCTAAAGGTGGCGACGAGCGGCGACGGCGGGCGATGGGGCGGCGACGGCGACAACGTAGCTGCCAGACCGACAGGCAGGCCCAGACGACGGGTGGGGACGAGGCGGCGACGGGGTGGCGACAGTGACGACGAAACCGTCGGACCAACACGCAGGCCCAGACTACTAGCGGCGACGGCGGCGACGTAGCCGCTGGACCCACAGGCAGGCCCAGACGACTGGCGGCGACGAGGCGGCGACGGGGCGGCGACGGCAGCGACAACCGCCGGACCAACACGCAGGCGTATTTCCTTAGAAAACAAGTAAGTTCCCCTGCGTACAAACACTGTTCGGATAATGCCGATATAGACGTTGCCAATCAGTTTGCGCAAGGGTTGAGAGCATCCCCAACTTTGAGGGGTACCTGGTACGGTATCTTTCTGTTATTAATGTTTGTTTTCTCAACCTTGAAATATTTAGATGGTTGGGGGTATATCGTTTGGGCCTTTGCCCTTCAGCTTAAGGGAGCGTGTTCTTGACCCACATGTTCATGGCAATGATTTGACAGCGTCATCGTCATCATCTTTGCCAAGTTGGTATCCTCTTTTCTCCATCCTCCCACTTCAGGAGGCAGAAGAAGATGAAGACGATGCTGATGCTGATGATGCTGTTACAACTAATGGTGGTGATGCTGATGCTGATGATGATGATGATGCGAAGTATGATGCTGCTGCTGTTGCTGATGATGATGATGCTGATACTGATAATGATGATGATGCTGATGATGCTGATTATGATGATGATGATGATGATGATTGTGATGATGCTGATGATGATGACGATGATGATGATTATGATGATGATGATGATGATGATGATGATGATGATGATGATGATGATGATGATGATGATGATGATGATGATGATGATGCTGATGCTGATGCTGATGCTGATGCTGATGCTGATGCTAATGATGCTGATGCTGATGCTGATACTGATGTTGGTGATGATTAGAGGAGGACGAGGAGGAAGAGGATGGCGATAGAGGATGAGGAGGATGATGAGGAGGAGGAGAGGAGGAGGAGGAGGAGGGGAGGAGGAGGAGGAGGAGGAGAGGAGGAGGTGGTGGAAGAGCAGAAGCAGCAACAGTAGGGGGAGAGGAGGAGGAGGAGGAGGAGGAGGAGGGGAGGAGGAGGAGGAGGAGGAGGATTCAAAGGAGGAGGAGGAGGAGGAGGACGAGGAGGGGGAGAAGAGGAGGAGTTGGAGGAGGAGGAGAAGGAGGAGGTGGAGGAGGAGGAGGAGGAGGAAGAGGAGGCGGAGGATGAGCCTCGTCGTCTTTGGCGTCCGACCCCTCCTTCCCCACCGCAGGCGCGCGTGGACTCCCTTCGGCGAGACCAGGACTTTGCAGCGGCGGGCAGGTGCCTTGGGGTGGCGCTCGGGGGGAAAGGGAGAGCGGGTGAGGGAGGGAGGCAGGGATGGAGCAGGGAGGGAGGAGGAGGAGGAGGAGGAGGAGGAGGAGGAGGAGGAGGAGGAGGAGGAGGAGGAGGAGGAGGAGGAGGAGGAGGAGGAGGACGTGGAGGAGGAAGAGGATGAGGATGAGGGAGGAGGAGGAGGAGGAGGAGGAGGAGGACGACGACGACATGTCCTTACCGTTCACGCCGCGACCCCTGGTTGCGCTGTCTGGGGCCCAGTCGGCACATCCCTTCCCGTGAGGGGGGCCGATGATAGATGGCAGGGCGCCAAGCAACGATAGCCTTCGGTTGGCCAGCGCAGACTACTGGTTGTGGGCAAAGAAGTGTGAACATGCCCTTCCAGGTCAGATTTCAGATTCTCGAAACGCGCGTTGGGCTTCGGAATTAGAAGGATGTCTGGTAGCCAGGTGAACCCCAGCGCAGTTGTCCGATACCCCAGCGTCGAGTGGACCCGCAGGTTCGCATCTGCTCGCAGAGGGGATGCGCCAGCTCCCATTTGCAGAGCCTCGCGGCAAAGACCCGCGGCGCCGGAGGATGAGTAGGAAGAGGCGGAGGAGGAGGAGGAGGAGGAGGAGGAGGAGGAGGAGGAGGAGGAGGAGGAGGAGGAGGAGGAGGAGGAGGAGGAGACGACGACGACGACGACGACGACGACGACGACGACGACGACGACGACGGCCGCGACGACAACGACGACGACGACGACGACGACGACGACGCAGGACGACGCCACCAGCGACGCCGACGACGCGGCGGCGCGCGGCCTCAGGACTCGTGGGAGGAGCAGGCGCGTGCCCTGAACTCGTCGGGCGACCGTCGCGGCGAGCTGGAGGCGCTGCGGCGCGCGCTGCAGGCGCGGCGGCCGCGCCGCCGCAGCAGCGCCGCCGCAGCAGCGCTCGTCTCGGAGGCGGCGGCAGGGGCGAGGACAGTGGGGGCGCACATCAAGAAACTATATGCTTTTCGTCAGGGTATCCTGGTTTTTTTCGCTCCGCGCGCCGCGCGGTGGCTTCCCGCAGCGGGGGAAGGCGCGGCTGCGTTCAGGGTGCTCTGGGCTTCCTCTCAGGTGCACCTCGCGCGCGGGTTTTCAGGGTTGGGTTTCGTGTGAGGGTTTCTTGCGGCCGCGCCCGAACTGTAGCCCAGGGGTGGGCATTACACATATTCGCCTGGGAGGCTCGCCGAAGGCATGGGCCATCTGGGGGAACAAACCGTGACGTAATCCTAAAATCTCGGAGGTCCGCGCGTACCTCCGAGCGTTTATGTTCACGCCACTGTTTGTTCCCCAGGGCACCGTTCGTTGCCCGAGTCACCCGGGGGGTGGCCTGGAACCTCCGCCCGCATGCTGTGGTGGGCGCCGGCGATTGCTGCGCCGGTGGCGCCGCCGCACCCTGGCGGGTGCACGCCGCGGCCGCCTTTTACCGTTACCCCTCCCGCCCGACCCCCCACCCCTCCCCCGGGTAACGACCGTTGCCCGGGAGAGAAAAAGAACGGTCACGGGGGACCCTCACGGGGCCCCAGGGCTGTAAAACAGCAGCCGAGGATGGCAACGAAGGGTCCCGCGGGAGCGGGTCCAGACCTCTGTGGGTCCACGCTCTATGAGGAAAATCATTGAGACCTCGCGCGGCGCGCAATACGTGTATTATCTAGTCCACACGTCAGCTCCGCAAGCTATGGGTCGACGTTCGCGCGACGATGCCCTGGCGTCTGTCCGACGTGAATCCGACGTCATTCCTACGTAATCCGACGTGAACTCGACGCAAATCACACGTGGATCCGACGTAAATCGGACCTCAAGTTGCCGCGCGAGGCCTCCAGAATTTTCTTAATAGCACGATGTAGAGTATCCGCGCGGACCTCCGAACGTTACCGCTCATGCCGCCCCGCCTTCCCTACAGTGGAGACCCTTGCCAAGCACACCCCGCCCGCCTCCAGGGAGCCCTGGGTCCCTGGGGCTTCGATGGCTTTGCAGTGGAGCGCGTAACTAGGGGGCCACTTGCGAGCCCTACCCCTACCCCCCACGATTTCTGAGGGGGAGGGTGGGGTTCACTTAGCTCGGAAGCTCCCGCGCGAAGTGAACCCCACCCTCCCCCTCAGCAGTCGTGGGGGGCAGGGGCAGGGCTCGCAGGTGGCCCCCTGGTGACGGCCCCGCACCAGCAATCCGTGGACGTCCCGGGGTCTCAGGGCCGGGCTGGGGCAGCGGCGGAGGGCGCGGCCCGCGCCTGCGCTGTCGCCCGTCTGCCCCCGCGCGTCCTCCGGGATGTCGAGCTGCACGGTCCCGTCGAACCTGTGGCGAGACGCTTTCCTCCTCCTCCTCCTCCTCCAACTCCTCCTCCTCCTCTCCTCCTCCTCTCCTCCTCCTTCCTCCTCCTCCTCCTCCTTCCTCCTCCTCCTTCCTCCTCCTCCTCCTCCTCGCAGGGCCGGGCTTCTTGCGGAAGGCTTCTCGTGGCCGGTCCCCTCCCCGTGCCTCTCTCGCCCTCTCGGCCCTCCTCGCCTCGCCCTCTCGGCCCCCTCGCCCTGCCGCCCTGCCCCCCGCCCCCTCCCCGCCGGCCCCTGCCGAGCGCTCCGCCTCCGACCCCCCCCCACGACGACGACGACGACGACGACGACGACGACGAGGACGACGACGACGACGACGACGAGGACGACGACGACGACGACGACGACGAGGACGACGACGAGGACGACGACGAGGACGATGACGACGAGGACGACGACGACGACGACGACGAGGATGAGGACGAGGACGGGAACGACGACGCCCTTCTCGCCCTCGGCCCCTCGCCCCCTCCCCGCCCTCCCCCGCGCCGCCGCCGCCCCCCTCCTCGCCCTCGCCCTGCCTCGCCCCGCCGCCCCCTCCCTCGCCCCTCGACCGCGCGCCCCCGCCGCCCGCCCCGCGAGGCCAAGGACGCCGGGAGGGCCGCGCGGGCGGAGCTCTTCGCGTGCTACGACCGCATAGACGCCGCCCGCGGCGCGCCGCGGCCGTAG